TTCTTTCCCTTCATTCCCGACACTGTGCGCCTCCATTTCCCGCGTCGAGTTCAGGCCCCATGCAACCGGTTCCGCCGTCCTCTTCTTCGACCTTCGAATGAACCCGCGCTCGACCCGGCAGGCCCATCACCCCTCTGCCGGTTTTTTGCCCCTTTCATTACTACGAGTTGCTCGATTCACATGGTCCGTTTCTCTAAATGCATTTCGCGCAGCTGCGGTTCCACACACCGTGATCCACTGACATTACTATACACCGATTACTCGGCCTGACAGTTATGCATCGAATGTGAATTTGGCTCGAATGCACAAAATTCGCGCAACGTGCTCTCAAAACTTTAAGCATTTTTGCTGCGAAATAAATGCAATTCGAAGAGGCAGGCATTTCTGTCTGAAGGTCCACGTGTCGCTTTCCCCCAAGAAGATGCCAACTGCTTTTGTGTTTTCGGCGCGCTAGCTTGCTTGTAAGGCATTTCCCAGTTTCTCGCAGATTTCGTTTTTTAAATAAGTGTCCTAAATCTGTCAGCTTTTCATTTATCTGATTACAACTTAGCAGTTTATCTTCGCAGTTTATGATCTTACTTTATATAACTTAAAACTTTACATGAAAATATGAATTTGTTGCATAACCTGTTGAGGCAGTGTTGAAGCCAGTTGCAATACTAGGATAAGACGTACACAACTTGATGGACCAAGCGCTCTTATCCCAGTTGTTTCTGATTCATTTATCTTATATATAGAAAATGCTTTTGATGTGTTGTTGTGAGGTATTACGAGGTCGTTGTGACTAGGCAAGATGAAGCGCGAGGCGTGATTTTTACCATCTTAAATTTATCTAAACTTGGTTAGAAAAATAAGTTAAACAACAATACAATTGAAATAATCTGGTCAGGGGCCGGTAGAATTGGTCGGAGCCGAACGGCGTTTAGATGACCGGGGCCGTTCAAGAAGACAGACGTTTTGTAGCAAATTCTGGATGTCGAAGTCGAGTGCATTGAAGAGAGCTCCAGATCGAAGTTCAAAATGAATATAAGACGAATCCCCGCAAAAGACCCAGAATGAAGAAAACCA